CTATCTATCTATCTATCTATCTATCTATCTATCTACCTACCTACCTATCCATGTATTTATCTATCATCTAATCTATCAATGTCTGTCTGTCTGTCTATCTATCTATCTATCTATCTTCAATCATCTATCTTTTATCTATTGTATGTACCATCCATCTTTTTATCTGTGTCTGTAATTTGTCATTTACCTATCATCTAATCTATCAATGTCTATCATCTATCTATCCATCCATGTATCTATTTATCATCTATCAATGCCTATCATCTATATCTATCATCTATATCAAGCTATCTGTCATCTATCTATAGATGACAGACATTGATAGACTAGATGATAGATAAATAGATGCATCTTCAAAGAGCTGCGACCCCAAGACAATTAAAAATGGCGTCCCTTTCTTGGTCAACTTCAGATGTTTCTTCTGATTTACCTAGGTCCATTTCTGATGGGCTGATGACACGCTTGGCCAGAAAAAAAGGGCACTTTGTATGTTAGAAACAGGTGGAGAATCCCACATAAAAGAGGCTGTGAGGACAGGCAGCAATTAGGCAACAATTAGCCAATTCCATCTTGTCCTGCAGATGTTTGTCATGGAAGGATCAGGAAAAGGGGCAGAAATAACTGCAAATTTAGTTTACCCAAGATGTTCCTTCCACTTGGTTGTCAGTTTCCTAGATTTGACAGTCCTAAATTACTTAAAACTACTTCAAAACCAGTCTAACCAACATTTGCACTAATCCATTTTAGCATGCTGTGCAAATATAGTTAATCACTCGGTGTTTGACTTACTTGGCTAAGGGGTCAGAAGCAGAAGCAGCATAGAGCTGGAAGGGACCCTGGAGGTCTTCTAGTCCAGCCCCCTGCCCAAGCAGGAGAACTTATACCATTTCAGACAAGTGGCTGTCCAGCCTCTTCTTCAAAACCTCCAGGGAGCAACTATGGCAACTTTAGGACTTCAATTCCCAGAAGTCCTAAGCTAGGCATGTTCATCATGAGCCATGCTGGCTCAGGAATTCTGGGAGTTGAAGTCCACAGCTCATAAAGTTGCCATTGTCTCCTCCCACCCCCAACGCTCCGTGAACCCAGCCATTTAAAAAAGCCCAATAGCAGACATTTAAACAAAAAATGGAGGAGATACTACCAATTTAACAAAGGCAAGGTTGGTATTCCCTATGAAGAAACTCCCACTTAAAAGTTTTTGTTTATGTATGTAAATAAAAATAAATGAGTTCAATGTAAATCAATTCATTTATTGACTTGTAAATAAATCTCTTCCCCCAATAGCAATTCTGCCATTTGATTTAATCCCTCCAAACTGTACACTCGCAAAACACCTGGCCAAGAGGACAGCAGCTGCAACTACTTTAATAAAGATCAGGAACACCTGGTCAGAGTATGTTCATGTACTGGAACAGAGCATGGTTATCAAGGTCAGCTAATGAATAGGCATAGCAATTAAGTCAGCCAATGAGAACTGTTTGTAAACTGAAACTAGAAGTAGCCTAGGCGTGGCTCTATAGTAAGCTCTGCAGTTTGGAAGCTATGTTGAGCTCTGCGTCTGTCTATTGAAGATGAAATTAACTTACTTGCTTGCCTGCTGAACTAAAGTCAAACCGATGTTTGTTTTTGAGCTCCTGAGTTGCCGCTGAAGTTACTTGCAGCACGTTTCTGAGTTTGCTCCGTGTTGGAGAAATCTACTACTAATTTGTAAAATCTACCCTGTTTCTCCAACAATATGGCCTCCCCCCATAGGAAGTCCCAGCATGTTTTATAGGTATGAAATGAAATTAAGCCCCTCCCCCCAAATTAAGGCCTACATTAAAACATGCGAAATGGGGCTTGCCGTTAGGAAGTACTTTTGTTGCACACCTGGATACGGTGCTGCCTGCATTGACCCCGATTACGAAGTGCCCCACCAACGCCGAGGTCAACCTCCAAGCCATCGCCGCTCGCCCGCCTGAAGCTGCAAGGGGGGGAAATTAAGTCATCCCCCGAAAAGACGGCCTAGCCATTTTTTCGGGGCTCAAAAAAAAAAAAAAAAGACCCGGCCTTATTATATGAGAAACACGGTATTTATTATGTTTATAAGGATGTTAAATGAAGCATCAGCCATCTGTATTTATTTTTCTGGCGCTAAATTAACGCTGCAAAACTATGGACACACCTAAAAAGGACAATAAGGTTTACACAGCGGCCTCATACTCAGCCTAAGGTGTTATAAGCTGCAGCACATTTTAAATATTCTGATAATCCAGGTAGAACATCTGTATTCTTGACCTTGGCCACTTTTAAGGTATGTGGACTGCAGCTCCCCAGCTGGCTGGGGAATTCTGGGAGTTAAAGTGTCCATATATCTTAAAGTTGTCATGGGTAAAAAAAGACCGCACTAGAGATATAAGGGCTGTCAAGGGAATACAGGCGTTTGTGGGTTCAAATTCTACAAAAGCACAGATGTTTGAACACTTCAAGAGGGAAGATTCTGTCAGCAATTCTAATTAGGATCAATTTCTAGACACCAAAGTCAACCGGTACAGGGAACACGGTCCGACACATTGGATACACAAAAGAGAACATGTTCTAACACAACTGCCAGCTGGCTGAGTATTCTGGGAGTTGGGAGTCCACAAGTCTTAAAGCTGCCAAGTTTGGGGAACGCTGTTCTAACAAGAACACACAGTGCTTACATCCGCATATCCTATCTTGATTCACCTGTGCACCTTGCAAGCATGGAAAAATTGAACTCTGCAACCAGTGAGTAGAAAAATGACGTTTCTCACAGCGTTGTGATGTTTACCTGTCCAGTCACCAAGCAGCACTGATCCCAGCTGGAGGTTGTTGCAGCTGTGCAGACCGTTTTAAAAAATTACAGGTAGTCCCGAAGGTTCTTTTTCCAAGAGGCCAACTGGAACTTCCTGGTTTTTCTTTGAAGACATTTTGCTTCTCATCCAAGAAGCTTCATCAGCTATGAATGGAAGAAGCTTCTTGCATGAGAAGTGAAACCAGAGGTGAGTATTCAGCCGGTTATGACCAGTTCTGGAGAACCGGTAGCGGAAATTTTGAGTAGTTTGGAGAACCGGCAAATGCCACCTCTGACTGGCCCTGTCCCCATCTATTCTCTGCCTCCCAAGTCTCAGCTAATTGGCTGGGTCTTCTTTGGTTGCCCTACACAGGAGAACGGAGCTGGAAAGCAGGTTAGTGGGGTGGGGAGGAAATGGAGATTTTGCAGTAACCTTCCCAAGCCACACCCACAGAACCAGTAGTTAAAGAAATTGAATCCCACCACTGACACCATCTGTTTCAATAAGTTTAATTTGGTGCCTTATCTCTTTCTCTCTCTCTCTCTCCCTCCCTCCCTCCCTCCCTCTCTCTCTCTCTCTCTCTCTCACACACACACAGAGTATGTTTTTCACTGGAAATTCTTTTCCATTCCATCATTACCAAATCCTAGATCCTGGGTTGTGCCATGCTCCTATGTGGATTCTCTCATTAACATTCTCCCTTATTGCTTTTATTAATGTGTGAGCTACCATAGCCACGGTGGCGCAGTGGTTAGAGTGCAGTACTGCAGGCTACTTCCGCTGACTGACTGCAATTTGGCAGTTCAAATCTCACCAGGCTCAAGGTTGACTCTGCCTTTCCATCCTTCTGAGGTGGGTAAAATGAGGACCCAGATTGTTGGGAGCATATGCTGACTGTGTAAAACACTTTGAGAGGGCTGTAAAGCCCTATAAAGCAGTATATAAGTCTACGTGCTATTGCATTTTTGCACCTTGTGCCATATGGATGTACTCAGGCTAAGAACACTGCTATCCTCTCTCTTAAATAAAGAGTTGTGTGATGCCTCCAAGAATTGCTATGAGGTTGAAGATTTTACCTCAGTGAGAACTTTAATACAGAACGTCGCCAAAGGTGTTTTCCAAAAGGCAACGGGATTTTATCGGTTTAAAAAAACCAAACAATTTGATACTCATCGAAGAAGCTTTTTCAAAACTGAAGAAGCTTCTTGTATCAGAAGTGAAATGTTTTCAAAAACCAAAACAAAAGAAGAGAAAGTCCTGTTGACTTTTCGGAAAAAAACACCTTTGGGACAACCGTGGCCTGGATGATCGAGAATCTCTGTAGACACTTCATACGGAACAAAGGGTCAGGAAGAGGCTTTTAGAATTTAAATGATCTCACCTAAACCCACATATCCACAGGAATCCTGATCAAAACGCCCATAAGAAATATCTTTCCAGATCCTTTTTTGAATACATTCAGTGAAAGGTTGTCCGGCATAATTAGTTCAACCTTGCAAGCTTTCTTACTCATGACGAATGGTTTGAAGCAGGGATGAGATTCAAAATCCCAGCAACCAATTTTCTGCCCAGTTGCTGGGTTTTTCGCCTTCCCCAGAATCCGGAAGCCTCCCTTGGGCCTCTATGAGAGGGTGAAAACAGCCTCTGCCAGGCTCCGGAGGGTCTCCGGAAGCCGGAAACAGGCCCGTTTCTGGACTTCCGGAACTTCCGGTTCAACCTGTTTTTTTTATTTCCCAGAGCCTCCCGCGGATCCTGTATTTACCTGCATCCAAAATGGACCGCATAGAGACTTCTGGGGAGGGGAGGGGTGGGCGGGGCCAGCCAGTTGAACCAGATGTAAATTTAACATCCGGTTCACGCTAACCAGGCTGAACCGGCTGAATCCCGCCCCTTGGTTTGAAGTTTCCTGGCATTTATCTGAAACCTACTTCCTTACAGTCGTTCGTCTACCTAGCACCCCGAAATGTAAGGGAACAAGCCATCATGAGTAGGGCCGGGAGTTTTCCTTACAAATATAAGGAAGCGGACATCTTTAGAGGTTCTTCAAGTCCTCTCCTAGACATTTGCTTTTTGAGAACATCAGTTAGGTGCCCCACAAGCGCGCTCTTTCATATGTTTCCTCAAACATCTTGCCCTATAGAAGCTTTCCCCACTTTGATAACATTGATATGGTCATTTTCAAGTATGAATTCTTGAATGATATTAAGGTTCTCTCTGGCGTGGATTCTCTGATGCCTCTTCAAATTTCCTCTCTCGTTGAAGCATTTCTGGCAGTGAGAACATTTGAACGGCTTCTCGCCTGTGTGAATTCGTTGGTGTTTCTTCAACGTTCCCAACCGGTTGAAGCCCTTTCCACACTGAGAACATTTGTAGGGTCTTTCACCAGTGTGGGTTCGTTGATGTCTCTTCAGGATTCCCGACAGGCTGAAACATTTTCCACACTGGGAACATGTGTATGGCCTTTCTCCAGTGTGAGTCCTTAGATGCCTCTTCAGGATTCCCGTCTCTCGGAAGCATTTCCCACACTGAGTGCATTTGTAGGTCTCTCCAGTATGAATCCTCTGGTGCATCTTCAAACAGTTGGTGTGACTGAAGCATTTCCCGCACTGGGAACATTTGTAGGGTCTCTCTCCGGTGTGAATCCTTTGATGGGTCTTCAGGTTGCCCGACTGGTTGAAGCATTTCCCACAGTGGGAACATTTGTACGGCTTCTCCCCGGTGTGAATTTTCTGGTGTTGCTTCCAGTATTTGGCTTTATTGAATCCCTTCCCACAGTGGGAGCACTCGTACCATTCCTCTTCGGGATTACACACCGGGAATCTGTTTAGTGAGTTTGGGTTAGTCAAGGTTTTCTCATATTCGGGAGAATTATTACACGTTTTCCCAAGATCGTTCAAATTATCCCCTGTTCCTTTATCAGAGATTTCAACTCTTTGCTCACTTCGGATGTGTTTCTCCTCTTGACTCCTCATGGAAGTATGCTGGTAGTTGTCCTCAACCCTTTGTGGACATTGCTCCAATTTTTCCATAGAAGATACAGGATTCAGTTCCAGTTGATAGTGGTATCTTCTATCATGTTGGGAGAATAAGGGCATATTACTCTGCTTGCACGTGGTGGCCTTATCAATAAGAGCAGAAGTAAATTCCTGTTGAAGCGAAGTATGGACGGGCTTCAGCTGCTGCCCTCTTGACTTGCAACCTTCTTCTTCCATTTCTACTTTTATTGGCAGATTCCCAGAACTAAACTTTTGATCTCTCCGTCGTGTTGATTTCGGTTCCTCTCCTCGATTCTCCGTTTTGATCTCTGTTCCCAGTCTGCTCTCTACAGAGGAAGGGAAAGAAATGTTAACAATGAGATTAGTTGCTTCCAAAGTCTTTTCTAATCTGCTTCTGAATGATTTTTCCTTCCAATGACTATCTTTTTGGCTCAATGATTACTGGTATATTAAAATCCCTCCTGACCAGTAAACTCAACTTTGGCAGCTTTAAGGTAAGTGGACTTCAACTCCCAGTATTCTGGGAGTTAAAGTCTGCACAGCTTAAAGTTGCCAAGGTTCCGAAACACTGATAATAATAATAATAATAATAATAATAATAATAATAATAATAATAAT